GCTGCCTCCTCAGTTCCTTCTTACCGCCAGTGACGGTCGTTGGAACTGTGGCGTCTTGCTCAGCTAGTTCTACCACGTTTCCCTAGCTTCGTTTGTTCTCTATAAGTATTAGTTTTTAGTTGTTAGTTAGTATTAGTAGTTAGCAGTTGGGCGGAGGGGGTTACCTTCTGTCCCGATCACGTTTCCTTGGGAGGGCTTACATGCCCAAATCCCAGGGGTTCAAGCCCTGCAAGTCCTGCAGCAAGCCCATGGCAACGGGCGATCCCCGCGACACTTGTCTGAAGTGTCTGGGAGAGGCTCACCAAGCCAATCAGTGCAGGATTTGTAAGGGGTTTTGCCCCAGAACCAAAAAGGAGCGAGACTTTCACTTCAAGCAGCTCCTTATGGAGGCAGCACTTAGACCTCAGCCTCCACCGGTGCGGCAAGTTCATCGGTGCATAGCGCCCCGGCGACAGTGGTGGAAGCAGCATCGCGGAAGGACACTGGCAGAGACCTGCGGCACCGCTGCTCCCCGGTGCCGAAACCAGCAGGATCGACCCGGCACCGCTCCCACTCCCCGGTGCAGAAGCAGCACTGGAAGCAAGGGAGGAGCAGCTCTCCATCCCAGAGGTCCACCCCTCTGGAGCCAGCCAGTGGGGCGCGTCCTCATGAGGAGCACCCAGCACCAAAGTCTGCGGAGACAGCACAGTTGACTTCGGCCCCGCAAGGGGGACGGTCGAGTCCAGTGCCATTGGACTTCCCAGACCAGGTCATCGAGGAAGTGGAACTGCCATCCACCCCGGACAATTGTACCGCATTGAGTGGCACCGTCTTGAGGTAAACTGGTGATGGTCTGGCCCTCAGCACCACTGATAGAATCCTGGCACCACTCGGAATCCCGGCGCCGCTTGCAATTGCGGCACCGGTCAGACTCGTGGCACTGCTCCAGGTTGTGCCAGTGCTCCTGGTCGCAATGCTGATCCGTGCGTCGATCCCCATCGCGCAGCAGGTCCCGCTCCCGGCACCGGTCCTGGCGCTGCTCAGTGACCCCGCACAGCTCCAGATCACGGCACCACTCTCTAGCCTTGTTGCACAGCTCTCCAACGTGTCGACACCATAGTGGCGCTGCTAGCAGGATCAGCTCTGCTTGGCACTGCCCTGGCCTTTGCGGTCCCGATCCCGGTCTTTGGACTCAGAGACAGGATCTAGATACTCAGAGTGGGGCCAGCACTGGTCAGGCTGTGGACACTCTGAGGTGGGGGCCAGGCCGTGGCCTGTGCAGTGGCAGGGACCGAAGCAGTGGCCATTTTGAACCCTTTGGGCATACCACCAGGCGCAGGGTGCCCAGTCTAAAGGCCCCGCCCCCCCCCCCACGGAACTAACTCCAACTCTGGTTCCTGAGCAGGACTTTGTTCTACCTGGTCCAGCCAGCAAGACAGGACGGGAGGTTTCTGACGAGCAGGAGGGACAGGAGGACCCTGTTCCCTCATTAGCCTCCTCGTCGTCCTCCCCAGACGAGGCTGTTGCGGGCACCTCTGTCTCTGGACTGCCCCCCATAGACAGCCGCGCCCACCAGGACCTTCCTCGCAGGGTGGCGCGCAACATGGGTCTGCAGGAGAGGTGGAGGAGTCGGAGGATCCGACAGTCAACGTTTCGGCCCCAGAAGGTCCTTCAAGGCTATCTCTGCCCTTCATCAAGACCTCTGTTTTCTCCAAGTGTCATTCAGCATTGTTGGTATGATGGTTCTTTGTGGCTGTAATAGTTCTACACACACACTCACACATTATGTATGGTAAGTGATCAAACCAGAGGTAATAGATGTGAACTCCTTATGATGCTGGCAGACCAGGTGCTAGCTCATGCAAGGCCCCTAGGCCTCAAATGCACACTGACCAATACATAACTGGAAACAAGTCTGACTCACCTGTGTGTTAGTATTGTTAAAATAGGTATTAGATTTATAAGAGTATGTTTAGTGTTTATACTTTATGAAATGCTTATAAGTTGCTGCATGCATTAATCTCACTTTTAATATCTGTGTCCCATGTTATAAGGTAATATTTGGGTTTTTGCTCTATAACTGAAGAGGTGGGTTTTTTACCCACGAAAGCTTATGCCCAAATAAATCTGTTGGTCTTTAAGGTGCCACTGGACTCCTCGTTGTTTTTGCTCTGAAACAGTAAACCACTAGTCAGGAGAGAACCATTACCACATCTGAAATACTAGTTTTGCCACAGGCAGTGTTACCTCCTGCCCAACAAAAGAAGGCCCATAGACACCAGACAAATCATTGTGGAACACTTTTCGGGGGAGATTAGGGGTCTCCAGGCACACCTTCTCTCCTAAGAAGAATGTGACTGTTCCTGCTGTGATGACTGAGAATGAGTTCTCTTGGGATTCCCTCACGGCAGCAGCAGGCAGCCTGGCTGTTGAAGAGAAGTTATTCAGCTGCAGGGTAAGATGATTACGCATAGGGCATCCTATAGCAACTGAAAGGAGCAGGATCAAGCACTCCTAAAGTTGTGCATTAATGGTGATCGGTACAGGTAATTGTGACTACCCTCTAGCTCCCTGAGACTGATTGAAAGGCCACAATCAAAGAACAGTTATCAATGGTTTACTGTCAACCTGACAGGATATATCTAGTGGGGTCCTGCAGGGTTCTGTCCCGGGTCAGGTACTATTCAATATTTTCATTAATGAGTCAGATAATGGACTGGAGAATATGCTTGTGAAATTTGTGGATGACACCAAACTGAGGTGGGATGCATGCACTTTGAAGGACAGGATTAGAACTCAAAACAATCTTGACAAATTGGAGAATTGGTCTGAAATCAACAAGATGAAATTCAATAAAGAGGCATGCAAAGTACTATACTTAGGAAGGAAAAATCAAATGCACAACTACAAAATGTAGAATAATTGATGAGGTAGTAATACTATTGAAAAGGATTTGGGGGTTATAATGGATCATGAATTGAATAGGAGTCAACAATGTGATGCAGTTGTGAAAAAGGCTAATGTTCTTGGGGGCATTAACAGGAGTGTCTTATGTAAGACAGGAGAGGTAATTGTCCCACTCTCCTCGGCACTGGCGATATCTTAGCTGGAATACTGTGTCCAGTTCTGTGTGCCACTCTTTAAGAAAGATGTGGACAAATTGGAGCGAGTCCAGAGGTGACCAACAAAAATGATAAAAGATTTAGAATACTTACCTGTGAGGAAAGGCTAAAAAAAATGAGTATATTGTCTTGAGAAGAGAAAACTGAGTTAAGGACCTGATAAGTCTTCAGGTATGTTAATAGGTGTTGCAAAAAGGATGGTGATCAATTGTCCTCATATCCAGTGAAGGTGGTTACAAGAAGTAATGGGCTTAATCTGCAGCAAGGGAGGTTTAGGTTAGATATTAAGGAAAAACTTTCTAACTATAAGAGTTGTTAAGTACTGGAAAAGGCTTCCAAGGGAGGTTGTGGAATCCCTGAATCGGCGGGTAGAAATCGCTCTCTCGGGGATCGAATTATCGCGTCTCATCGGGACGCGACAATCGATCCCTGAATCGACGCTTCTACTCCACCAGCGGAGGTAGGAGTAAGCGCCGTCGACGGGGGAGCCGCGGAGGTAGATTTGCCGCCGTCCTCACAGCGGGGTAAGTCGGCTCCGATACATCGAATTTGCGTATCTTAAATCGACCCCCCCCCCCCGTAGTGAGGACGTAGCCTAAGAACAGGTGGAAAAACGCCTGTCGGGGATGATGTAGGCATACTTCATCCTGCCTTAGCATAGGGGGCTGGAATAGATGGCCTCTCAATGTCTCTTCCAGCCCTTTATGTCTATGATTTTGTACTCATCAGGAAGAGATGGCAAACACATACATCTTCCTCCCCCAACTCCAAAAAGATATAGGTGAATTGGATATAGCATGCTTCTCCAAAAGAGTGCTTCAGTCATGGGGTGGGTGCTGCTCGGGAGAATTGTGGACAATTTTCCTCCTCCTAGAAAACAAGGCTTTGGCCTTTTTTGCTCCATTGCTGTAAGCAGAGCTGCCACCATCTTCTTTAATCCCTGTCATGGTGGCCCTTTGATGTACCACCAATGAATAGGGAGGCAAGACGAGACAGGCTGTCTGAACAGTGGTTTTTATCCCACAGATCACGTGCCAGAGCAAGGGATTTGGCTTCCTGAAAAGTCGAGGGTGTGGCTGGCCTTGCACAGGTCTTGTTTCCTCCTCTGAAAGTGGAGGAAGACTATTTAAGAAGTTATCTAGTTAAATACTTTTTCCTTGTAGCCATAGTTTCCTTAGCTTTTCTTCCTGACAAATCTCATTGGTATGCATTTTTATCAATTTTATATCAATCATTCTTCCTTCTTTCCTTGCCAGTTTGTCTGAGATCATGAAAAGCATGGGTCTAGGTCCGGAGAGACTGTTCTCTGCTTGAAAATTAATTTCACTCACTTCCTTTCCTAAATCTCTTAATTTAAAATCAGTTTCCTTGCCCACTTTTTCAAATTTTAGTACAATTCTGTACCTGTTTCTGTTCTCATTTCTTCTCTTTCCCTTGTTTGCCATATGGCTAATGCCTAAATACTCCTTTTGAGTCCTCCTTTCCTTGTCTTTGTATTTTTTTCAGTATTGTACCATGTGCTTGGAACTTCCTCCCTTAGTTCACTAAACAATCTTCCCTCTTTGCATTTGAATCCCCCTTTTAAAGCACTTCTTTGCAAACTCTTTCAGCTGTAACTCGCAAAGTACTGAGTACATACTCACCCCCTTTGAATTTACCTACGTATTATGTATTTATTGATTATTTATGAATGTAGTATATACTATCTTGTTTGTGATGTACTGTCTAATTAAGATTGAAAAGTCCTTAGGGAGGTAGACTGAATGTATCTGTCCTTTACAATATGTAATACACTGTTGGTATTCAGTAAATTAATACTAAAGAAACCATAGGACGGAGGTAATTACCAAGAATTAAGTTCTCTTTTGAAAGTGAGCCATGTTTTTGTTTCTTTTACAGAAAAAGATAACGCTAAATATGTTTTTAGACACATTGATGGTTGATCCACCCCCTCAGTGCCTTGTGTGGCTACCTCTCATGCACAGACTTGCACATGTAGAAAATGGTAAGTTAAATATTTATTATGTCTGAAATTTCTGTTCAGAAAAGTGTATATATGGTGATCTTTTCCAGACATTGGATCTTAGTGTTTGCTTTCTCTGATTGTTCCCACTGTATGGTGTTAGTCCCAGAGCATTCAGGGACTAATTCTCAGAGAAGCTAAACACCCCCAGATCCCACTGACTTCAGTGTGAATTATAATTGCGCATCACTTCTGAAAACAAGACCTTATAACTACACAGAAAATTAAGCAATAATCTAGAACAATCCTATTATTTTAATTTTTCTTTTTAATTTGAATATTAATATCATTAACAACACAGGATTTAAAATAAAAATATAACCTTCAGAAAAAACAATTTCTGCAAATGAACAAGCTCCGTCGACAACTTTTAAAGGATTTTCACTTGCATTGCACTTTAACAAGTATTATCAATTGATGATGTGGAAGATTTTTGGGTGCCAGTTCAGGTGTCCTTGCTGAGTGTCTCATGAGTGCACCAATCACTTTCTGCCTCCCACCATGAACAACATGAGGGCTGAGCTCTCTCTGTCCACGTCCAGTGCTTTCCTTAGCTACAAGTTCCCAGTTACGCCTACACAAGAAGGTATTTCTCTGAGAAGTGATTAGGGTTTGAAAAACTGGAGAAGGCTAAAAGGACAACAGATATACTTCTTGTGGTAAGGCATTGCGTGCAACCTGGTCTTTGACTGGCATGCTAGATATGCCTCACAGAATGTGTTGACATAACATCCTCCAGTCTCAGAAATCACAATTTCCACTTTTGAGACAGTCAACGTCTGTGGACCCAGTGGTTCACCAAGGACTTAACCCAACCCCCCCCTTTTTTTTGGCCAGAATCTTGGGTAATCAATTTCTCCCTCATCTTTTCTTGTCACTTCCTAGATATGATCAAATCTTCCCAATTTTTCCTCAACATATTAAAAACCCTACCACCTTTCCTGTCTCAGCAGCTAGACTGCTTGTCCCCACCCCGATAGCCTTTTGCCTTGATTACTAAATTGTCTTCCACTTAAGTCTTCCTGAAACCCATATCTGTCATACTCCAGTCTGTCCAAAATCCTGCAGCTAAAATTATCTTCCATGCCTGTCAAATGGACCACATCATCCCCTTCTCTGAATGTTTCCAGTGGATGTGCCTTGTTCACTATATCAAATTCAAACTTTTTGTGTGTCATTCAAGACCCTGCAGACTCTGCCCTTGCCTATGTCTCAATCTTCTCTTATTTCTCATTGCCCCATCCACTCTGCTTTACCAAGAGTGCCAGCCTCAATACCCTATTTGTTTGCTTCTCCCTCTCCCAACTTTGTGCCTTTCTCTATTCATCAAACCACGGACTTCTCCACAATATGTATGTGTGTGTATGTAATAAATACACGTGCACCCACATTTAATGGAATAAGTGACCATGAGATATGTCATTCACCTGTTGTAGCAGCACCTCAAGGTGCATGTAGCACCTAGAGGCCCCAACCAGGTCAGGGCCCAATTGTTCTAGACACTATACAGAAGCAGTCCTTGCCCCAAAAAACTGGTAATCTTTTACTAAGACAAGATGTAACAAGTGGGTGAAATAAATGGTGGAGTAGTGAGTGATGACAGGGCAATAGTATTACAAGGATATTTTATACAGACTATAGATGTGTGCACACCCAATTCATTCAACTCATTCTAATTTAACCCAATAAACTTACCAAAGTCCAGTGGTGACAGGGACAGGCAGAGGATGCTGCTGGCAGTCCTTATTTACAACTCTTCACACAGGTGGCCTTAGGGTGATGGTCATTCTCCATAGATCAGGGTAGATAGAGTTCTTATCCACCTTAGGTGATAGAGCTGGCCTTTTTTAGGCACAGCGCTCCTCTCCCCAATCTGGGGAAAGGGAACTGAAAATGAATCCTAAACACAGCCTGCCCTTTCTGTACCTGTCAGGCTACTACTCCTGGCTGGTCATTCAACTCAGTGGTCAAAATAAAACACAGATTCAGACTGACAATTTGGTTCATGGAATGTCAGAACTCTTCTTGACAATGAGCAAAGACTGGAACGTAGGACAGCCCTTGTTGCCAAAACACTGAAGAGGTATAACATAGACATCACTGCCCTCCAAGACAGTCAGAGGTAGGGTTCGCCATATGGTCCAACATTGCTCGCAAGCTTGACTCGCTCCCCAAGAGAGTCAATGACTGACTTATAGCGCTCCACATAGAAACCAGTACGCCACCATTATGAGTGACTGTGCACTGACAATGACTCGTACACCGAGATCAAGGAGGTGTTTTAAGAAGATCTTAGCAAGATCATCAGAGGGGTGCCACATCAGGACAAACTTATTGTCCTTGGAGAGTTTAGTGCTCCTGTTGGAGCTGACTCAGATACATGGAAGAAGGTGCTAGGTCATCGCAGCTTTGGAAGGTCAAACTCCAATGGCCAACTGCTTCTCCCCAAGTGTACCAAGTTCAATCTCACTATTACCAACACTGTCTTCCAACAGGCCAATAAATATAAGACAACATGGATGCATCCTAGGTCAAAACAGTGGCACATGCTGGACTATGTAATTGTACAGTCTAAAGACATTAAAGATGTGTATATCACCTGCTCTTTGAGAGATGCTGAATGCTGGTCAGACTACTGACTTGTGAGAAGCATCATGTTGCTACACTTCTCACCAAAGCATCCCAGAAGATGCCTCAGACCAGTGAAAAAGATCAGTGTGGCTGCCATGAAAGACCCTAGCAAACAATCCAAGTTGAAACAGATACTGGAGACTGCATTAGCTGAGGTCCCAGAGAACTCCACAGATATTGAGGCAACCTGGCAGAAGCTCAGAGATGTCACATATAATGTGGCATCCAAGGTTCTTGGCTTTGTAAGGTGGAAACACCACAACTGGTTCGATGAGAATGATCCTGAGATAGACTGGCTACTGGAGACAATGCACATCACACTCCAGTCCTACATCTTGGACAAGAAATCAGAAATGAAGGAGACCAGGTACCATCAGGCCAGACATGCACTTCAAACCCGATTAAGGCTAATGAATCACCGATGGGAGCAAAAGGCTGCAGCGCTGCAGGAAGCGGTTAACAAACATGACGTGAAGGCCTTCTACGAACGTCTCCATGTTGTGTATGACCCAAAATCCAGTGGGTACAGCCCCTGTCCTCACAGCAGATGGTAACTGGATGTTCACAGACAAAAGCAATTTTCTCTATCACTGGGCAGAGCGCTTTACTAGTCTCCTGAACTGTCAATCTACTATGTCTGACGAAGCCATTGACTCACTCCCACAGTGTGTTGTTCTGGAGGAGCTGTCTGTGGACCCTTCTTTAGGCAAGGTTACTAAGGCCATCAAGCAACTATCCATGGGCAAGTTTCAAGACCACATCGGCATTCCACCTGAAGTGTACAAATGTGGAGGTGCCCACCTGGTCAGGAAACACATCAGCCTTTTCAAGACTATATGCCCCAGGAGTACAAGGATGCTTTTATAGTCCATCTATACTAAAAGGAAGAGAAGCATATCTAGCTGTGACAACTATCAGGGAATCTCACTGCTTTCTATAGTAGGGAAGCTCCTTGCATGGGTTGTTTTCAACAGGTTTGTCTCTCACCCAATGGACGCATTGTGTCCAGAGTCACAGTGTGGCTTTTGTGCTGGCTGTGGCATCATGGACATGATTTTTGCAGCCTGACAAATACAAGAGAAGGTTTGTGAACAGAACAAGGACCTGTACATGGTGGTGGTTGACCTGATCAAAGCCTTCAACATGGTGAATCATAAGAGCCTACGGAAACTTCTTCATAAATTTGGTTGCCCAGAGAAGATGATTGTGGTCATCTGCTCATTTCACGATGACATGATGGCCAGGGTGATGGTCCGTGGTGACTCATCAGAAGCCTTCCCTGTCACCAGCAGCACCGAACAAAGATGCGTAATGGCTGCAGTCCTCTGTGCTGTGGTCTTTTCAGCCATGTTCTTGTTCGCATTCCAGGACTTTGACAGAGGTGTACACATCCAGATTGGATGGGGGTCTATTCGATCTAAAACTCCGGGCTTGCACCAAGGTAACTGAACAGCTATTAAGAGAGCTCCTGTTTGCTGATGACTGTGCCCTCATGGCACACAGGCTTAAGGACATTCAGCTTATCGTGGATGGTTCTGCCTATGCCTCAACATGCTTCAGTTTCATAACCAGACGGCACCATACCACCAGTATCATTGATCCCACGATCCCATCATCACAATTGACAACACACCCCTCAACTCGGTCAGGAAATTCTGCTAACTGGGTAGCATACTTTCCAGCAATGCGATGTTGTATGACGAGATCATTCAGTGCATGGCACAGGCCAGCCTGGCATTTAGCAGGCTCACTCACAGGCTCTGGAGGGAGCATGGAGTCTGCCTCAGGACCAAGATAAAAATCTATGCACTGTTATACTTACCTCACTCCCATATGGCTGCGAGACATGGATGCTGTACTAATGCCACATCGAACAGCTGGAGAGCTTCCACCTTTGCTGCATAAGATCCATCTGCAACATCAAGTGGCAGAACAGGATCCCCGACACTGAAGTCCTTGAGAGGTGCCAAATCCCTGGCATTGAGAGTATGCTCATAAGGGCTCAACTTCGCTGGGTCGGACACGTGATCTGCATGGAGGTTTTCCTGTATACTGAAAAGGGTGTTCTACCTCCAGTTGAGCACAGGAATCTGCCCTAAGCGTCGACCCTTCCTCAGATACAAAGCATGCAAGGCCAATCTCAAAGCATGCAAGATAGATATTAAAACCTGGGAACTCATTGCACTGGACAGACCCAGATGAAGAGGTCTGTGCCATGAGGCCAAGTGTACTTCTGAGGAGTGGTTTGTGAGGTCTTTGGAGGAGCAGAGAGCATAAGCAATTAGAACAGCCATACTAGGTCAGACCAAAGGTCCATCTAGCCCAGTATCCTGCCTTCCGACAGTGGCCAG